AAAAGCGTACAATTTCGTACATCCTGCACTAGCACACAAAATCCGTACCCGTACACAGGCGTACAAAACCGTACATCCTGCACTAGGACACAAAAGCCCCACCCATAAATTATGGCGTTAACTAATACAGCAGTAAATCCGCCAAGACACAACACCTGTATCTCTACAAAAGCTTCTTGTCCAGTAGCCCCAGGAGACATCATACGAAAGCGTACATAACCGTGCATGCTGTGATTAGATGCTTGGACAGAAAAACCGGCCCTGGTATAGAAGCCTAGGGAACGTTTCCTCTTCCACTGCTAGCTGGGATATAAAACACGTGCCAACACAAATTAAAGCGTTCACTGAATGTAGAAGAAAGACACAAAGCGAAGCCAGGAAACCTTTGTCGATGAGCATCAGCTCGAAGCCAGAGCCATTGCGGGGCACCTTGGTTTACGGTTTGGGGTTTAAGGTTTGGGTTCATTTGAGGACGGGACTAGCTGACTAGCTATTGTATGTCAGACCGGGCACAGGATGAGGAAGAGCAGCTCGCCATTGTTCGGAGGCATGCACCAGAGTCTAGGATGTCCCAATTGCACTCCAGACGGAGTCTTGGATCTAGTTTTTGATATCCCTTTATCGTCAACCTATGCTCTATAATTAAGGTCAAACCATCAGCTCCTATGCCTATCTCGGCGTGAAGGCCTGCGAAAGACAGGGGTTTGCATGCAAGGTTTCGACTGCACATGAGCATCTGAGTCAGCTCTAGCAGGATCAACAGCAGTGCAGTGGCATGCGGGGCACACCTCTGTCATCGCTCTCGCAGGATCGCTTGCGAGCTGAGGATGCTGAAGCTGTACCTGCCACCGGCTGCACAGCTTATGTACCGTACCGTTACATAGTGTCCATACAGCCAATCGCAATATTATGAGTGGCACTGTGCGTGCAGCTGTTTGCTCGCAGTAGCATGTATCCGTCTGTCCCAGCTATAGCTCGATCAGAGGGCGACCCAGCTGGAGCGGACTTTGAACCATATAGCAGCTAGTGCAGCCTAGGTAATATCTTTACACTACATATTACTGGGAGCCAACGGATCGTCTGCATCGATCGTCTGCACCGGAAGGCACGTGTAAAAAAAGGCGAGCCACGACTCACATGTCCGGGACCTGCAGGGAAGTAGAACTTAGGGTTAAGTTTAAGCGAAAGGTTTTGATTGTTTTCGGTTGCGAAAGGGGGTTTTAAAAACATATGACACCTACTTCCGGGCTGTGATGATTACCTAAGTTATATCAGAATATTGAACCCTACCCTTAATATATCAGACCACCCCAGTCTCATACTTCAGACCCACCCACATATCGACACATACCCTCCGAGATGCCTTGACCTTAAAGCCTTGCCCCTAAATCCTGTCTCGACTGGTACGGGTACGAACTCGGCCCGGCCTCGTGCAGCAGAAATGCCACTGCCATATCGTGACAGAAGATTTCAATTTCTGTCTGATCAGTCATCGTGCTGAGGCCCTGCTCGGACACATATGCCAGGAACTTTCGCTCGGCTTTGTCTTTCGCCATCGCGACTTTTCCGGACAAATGCCTTAGACGGTTAGGTCAGCACGGAAGGCTTTCAGTAGCTCACGAGGGCCGTGCAATGAATGTGTTAGATTAAAATCAAGCAGGACACTCCTGGAAAGCTTCAGCAGCAAACTGAAATCTCCAGAGAAACGGCGTGGTTGTCGGCGGCGGGCGACCGGCGAAAGTCTTGTTGGGCTCCTCCGGAGCCTTTTTTCCTTTTTTCTTCTTCTTATTCCCTTCATCATCCGGAATCGTGTCCCCGCTGGCCTTTTTCTTGGCATTGCCCTTGGAAGTGTCCAATCCTTGCTCGTCCTTTTCCTCGGTTGGGACAAACACTAAAGAATGCCCACCCAGCAGATGTTGCAATCTATTGAGAAGAGGGTCGGTGGCAACGGCATCTGGATGCACAAAATTTCTCTGCTCCACTAAAGCTTCCATCGTAGCCAGATCGGTTTCACTGGAACTATCATCCAACGTGATGGCATCCTTGGCTTATGGAAAATTGAAACCATATGATATGCTACTCGATGTTTGTGAGTATTAGGCATGCTTAGCCCCAGACGGATCCAAAGATCTTCAAATGAGCCTCTGCGTACTTTTGCTGGGCAGCCTCACAAGGATTCATACCGGAGCAAGAATAGTCTTACTTAGTCCAGTTATCGCCAAGAACCTCCCGAGCTGTAGGACGTGAAGACGAGCTCGGCATCGTCTGCCTCATATGAATTAAAACTACGGCAAGAGTCATATGGAATATCCAGGCAGCCCACATCACAAAATAATTGCAACCATGAGGCCCAACGGTCGGATCCATGGGCTGCTCGCGATCTCCAGGCTCGCTTGGCTTTGGCTCGTGATCTCCAGCCTCGCTTGGCTTGCGCTCTCCAGCCTCGTTGGGCTTTGGTTCGTGATCTCCAGTCTCGTTGGGCTTTGGCTCGCGATCTCCATGCTCGCTTGGCTTTGGCTCGCGATCTCCAGACTTCGGCGTTTCCGGCCCCAGGAGGTCCTCAACCTCGTCAGGCGTAAAACGCCTCAAGTCACCAAACTCCTCCTCCAGCCGCTGAATCCTCGAATGGTTCAAAGTCAGTCTTTATCTGCGTGCTGCGGGCTCTCAGCTCAAAAGCATTGGGAAGCATTATTTTCGTATGCAAGCGACTTCGCTCCACGGTCTGAGGAGCTCCTCAGATCCACGACAATTCAATCATGGCTCGAAGGCTATGTGCTCGCACAAATCACCTGAATTTATCTGGAGCACGGTCGCTCTGGAGACTCGAAGAGGAGCCTTTCAATCTCCTCGTCGTCCACCGGATCTTCGGCATCTATTTCGTCGAGCATTTTATCGACATCAAGTACCCTGTTGCGGTCCGTCTTCTTCCTTTTCTTTTTCTCCACCCAACCATCCATCCTCAGATCGCGAACGATCAGGACAAAGGACCACACACTTTTGAATGCTTACTGTTTACTACTGCAGCAGGGAACTTGCTTTTCAAGCGATCCATTCGTTCGCTGTACGAAGACCTGGGCTGCGAAAGGAGCATTACATCTGCTGGAATATAACCATCATACTTTTTAGCCTAGCTACCCTGTCTTTCCTCGTAACCGGCGTACACGGGAGCATCCTTTCTTCAGCAAACCGGCGATGACCTTCCGATCCAGCTCTGGAAGATTTTTTGAGGCCACATTGTCTACCTCATGTTGATCAGCAGGGCTTCGTTCCAGTGAGCTTGCTATACGACTGAAGCCAAGTCTCGGCTTGCTCAAAAGTTCGCGGGGCAGGTACTTGATTCACAGTCACATAACCTCGGAAGGCAAACTAAAAGCATCGCATGTCGAGCAAGGAACCAGACGAAACGAGCAGTATCATCTGCCAAAGGACGAAGAGATTCCAGCACAGCATCCAGGACACAGAAGCCTTCGTGTTCCACCCAATCGGTGGATAGCGAAGTCTTCGGGTGGGAGAACCGAAGTGCATTCGGCCACATTTGCGTTACACCTCACGTACTGTATTCACAGTAGGGCACGGTTTCAGATCATTGGATCGACCTCTGGCTGTCGCACGATATATTCTGAGCTCAGAGCTTTTCAACGGACTCAAAATGGGCTGGAGGGCCAATTGCATTGTCATCACCACCTATAGTCTGGGCACATCGTACATGCTGTGCTCCACAATGTACTTCAGTTTGCAAGCGAGCGACATCTTCTTCAGGGGATAAAAACACCGCCCCCGGATCATCCGGATCGGAAGCATCCGCCTGCTCCAGGACATGAAACGGTTTACTGCGACCTGTGAGACACTGCCCCCCAGGAGTCCTGCTCATCCATGGCTCCCGACTCTTCTACAGTAGAGCACGGACGTACAAGAAACTTCTCTGCCAGTGCAAGCGACCCTATCTGAAACTTCTGTGGCTGTGCCAACGACCCCAACCGAAACACGTGTCTGCTATATATATATATATATCTTTGGTTTTGAAAACCTGGGTCTCCTTCAATGCTCCGTTCGGTCTGAGCCATGTCTGACTACAAACGGTGGTGATCAATTGGCCTGCAGCTGCTGCACACAGATTCACTCAAGGAAAAGCGGGACAGCAGGGGCACTTGGACTTGGAAAGACCCGCTTCAGCAACTGGTTCATCCGCCATCATGCAGCCAGCACGCAAATTCATTATGCTTGTGCCCCGGTAACTGAGTGTCACCCTGCACACTACAGCAAGCGATGCGTACTCCGCCTTCGATCGACGATCTGATGTTCTCAAGAGTATGTGTATTGTATGCCCACAGCTGAGCCTGCTTCGGTCGGTTCAAAGCAGCACCCGTGTACATCGACTGAATGAAAACTTATATGGATGAAACATATGATATTTATATGATTATCGTGAACAGAGGGTGACCCCTATAGGAGCACCGACTGTCCACTTATGGGGTTTAGGGAATGGACAGGGAGTATCCCTATAGGGGCACCACCTGTCCATTAATAAGGGAAATTAAGGTTTTTTCAACGAGTTTGAGCCGACCTACTTTTTTTTTCTCAGCAATCTTGAGCCAATCTATAATTCCTAGAGCTGTACATGCTTTGTATATTCACAGACACATCCTATTCTCATTTTTTGGATCCACAATAGCTGTACATGTGGAAGCACTCTGTACAATTGTTCCAATCTCGGGCTTGCCGCAACTCAGATCCATAAATTTGACCTGGACGACAACTCTATGGCCTCAAGACATGTGACTTTCGCTTTTTTTCGGTGGCACCACCAGAAAAAAGCTCTTTACTCCAAATTGGTGCCGGTAGCATTTTTTTTTTGCGTCTCCAGCCTCTCCGGGTTGCTGAAATCCACCCCACTCGGCCAAGGTGGGTCGCCATGCTCACAGGGAAATTAAGATGCCAGCGCTGTGCCGGATCCCGTCGCAGCTGTTGCTCAGCAGGCCATTGGCACACCTGCGATGTAACAGATCCCGGAGACTTGGTTTGCTTCGGCGTAAACATCGCCCGCAACGCGCCGATAGAAACAAACCAGGCACAGGCTAACATCACCACCGTGAGTAGCAGGCTCAAGGCACAGCTGGCGGCTGGGGTAGTGGTAACTTACAGCAGGATGCTATGCTGCCACTACAGTTACAGGCCATGCCAAACGATCAACGATAGACCTGATCCCAGGGCCACTTGCGCGCAAAAGTGAGCACAGGCAAGAACTGAAGAAGGCACTATCTCACCCTTCTCTTTACAACACAACTCAAGCGGCCTCCCTTTTAGGATCTCACCGGGGGGGGAAGGACACACCCGCCCCCCATTTAAGCCACCCCCAGCAGGCGCATTAGCGCATCGCCCTGCTGTCATACCCCTCGGGCTGTAGGGGAGTTGGCCCCAAGGGTGGCCGCCACGAGGCCACGCAGGCGTCAGTGGCCAAGCTTTCAGCTCCGGATGGATCGCTGCCCCCAACACGGCCAACAAGATGGAACCTGGCAGGTCTCTAGGGCCCCCTCGGCCAGCCCGCTGCTCAGGTTTAGGTCGGGCAAGCGAATCGACAAGGACGTTTATGATCAAAAGCAAGCACAGCAAACCACTAAACCCTACTAAAAAACCCTTAGAAGTTTTACTGGCACTCTGCCTTTGGCACTCTGCCTTTCATAAATTTGATCACAACCTGACACTTAATGACTACTCACTCGATTCGGCCTTCCATGTTGCGCACTCGGTCGATCAACAGTTCAAGAGCCTCCCCTGCTGCCACCGAGTGGGTCATCATCTCGCACTGACTACTGGCTAGCCAGAGCGTGCAGAGACATAAATGGGGGGCTCCCAGCAGGCACGTTAGCCCATGTGTCCTGCTGTCATAGGGATCTGGTCAGCAGATCCCCGTTGGCCTCAAGAGCCCGAAAATCCCAAACAGCGGCCCGCCACACCCGGCTAACGGTGTGAACTACAAGCTGCCCTGCACTAGCGAACCCTCAGGGAAGTGACCCCGGCTAATGGTGTGCGACTATAAGTTGCCCTGCACTACGTTCTTCCCTCAGAGCCCTGTGCGAGACACAGCGAGTCCTGGGTAGCGGCCACACACATGCCTCCACATGCCGGCAAGCGAATCGACAAGGATTTTCTGATCAACAGCAAGCGCAGCAAACCACTAAACCCTGAACCCTTAGAAGTTTTACTGGCACTCTGCCTTTCATAAATATTAAATGCACAACCTGACTTAAGCATCCCTTTCTGTAACGGCCTCCCCGGCGTCTTTGCAAAGACGAACGTGCTCTGACAGTCATGCGGACCGGAGACTTAGGCCACCCCCATTCGGCCGAGATATGGGGTCACCCCGCTCTGCCATGGGGATATGAGGCTCTCAACGACCACTAGCAGCTGCAAGCATTTGCCCGCGCTATGCTTATGTCGCCCTCTGCTCGCAAAGAAGCAGGACGTCGTGGTCGTCGTGGTGCCATCCCAGAGTTCGCAGCGGATACTTCTGCCCCCGACATTACCTTCTGCTGGACTTGGCCAACAGCTTGGCGCAAGAGCCGAACGTCGGGTCGGCCATGGCAAGAGCGGTAGTCGAATTTAGTTCGACTGTGGCGCGGGTACGTGGCATCAAATGAATGTGTGACAAAGAATTCACTAATCTTAAACAACTGGTTAACAAAACAACATTCTACTCCATATCAAATCACCAAGGAACCATGCAGGTCGCTGCGTTCGTCCTGGTTCTTGAGAATGAGGGCTTGTCGCAAAGAGGTCCCACTTTTTGCAGCGCCCTCTAGCAACTTCCAGATGCTTTTGATGTCCACAGTCTTTTTCAATGGAACACGCTTGCCCAGAAGTGCCCTGCGAGACGTCACAGGCACACCAGCATCATGTACACTCAAGTAGTGCCCAATGACATACACCTGGAGGCCGGCTGACAATGTCTCGGACAGACACTCATGTATGTGCATGAAGGCATTCACGACTGTCTTGGCAAATCCATGAGCCTGCCCCGACGGTTGAAGCGCTCTGTGTTTTTTTGCCATGGTTGCAAAGGCGATGATGTCGTAGATGCTAGTTTCAACCTCCTCCCAATCTCGTGGCACTCTGCCTTCAGATTCATCTCGGAGAGATGAAGACAGCGTCCTTGCATTGAACATAGATTCCCAAAGCTGACGCAAAGATCGGGACGTGTTGCCTGCCAGCGACTTCATCATCCAAGCGGCAAAGCCTGACACCAACCCAGCTGATTGAAGAAACCATGACACTCTGCCTTCATCCAACTGCATGACCAGAGGCTCATCACTGATAGTTTCACACACACGTACCATAGCATCCTTCAGTTTTCTCTTGTACCATTCCCTGTGGGCGTCTGTCCTTGTGTCGAAGGATGCTTGCAACATGAATCGGGCCAAGGCTGTGGAAGATGCCACATCCTCCTGCACAGCATCAGGGTTTGGCACTCTGCCTTTTTGACTTTGCACATGTGACCCCCAGTTCGCAGCCAAGGGGGTCTTCCTGAGAAGATCACTGAAGAAGTTGTACCATTTGTGGTACTGTCGACGTTCTGAGCCGTTCCTGTTGCTCTCATCGAAAAACAAGTCCAGACGCCACCACAGTTCGCCCTGTGAGAGCCAAGCTGCTCTCGCTGGCAGTTTTGCATCATTTTCCAAGTTAAGCAATTGCCCATCACGGAGCAATAGCATGACCCACAGTTTCAGAAGCATCACCGAAATCCTCCAAAGCAACACTGTACTTGAATCTTACTAAATACTGACACACACCTGCACTTGTGTAACAAGCCCCAGTTCACAACACATTGAATTCTTAAGAAATCAACCCAAAGACTCACGATGACATGTCAGCAGCCACATCATGTCACTCGAACTTGAGACAGGAAACTATCGCAGATGGCACTGAACTGACAACCACATGGAATGATTAACACAGGCCA